AGCTGAGGAGAAAGGCCTGGAGCTCTGCAATTAGCCGGAGGACCACACCTTGTACCACCCCTGCCCACCCCCATGGGAATCCAGTTTCAGCCTCTTCTTCTGGCTTCAGAGATTTTGGCAAATCCAGCCTACACAATTTGTGCCTCTTCATGCTAAATGTTTGCCAGGCTTGTTTTTATTCATTATATCAAAAGCTGAAAATACTCCAGGGGTTTAATTTTGCATCCCACGGGGTACCGTGAAGCTTGTCAAAGAGAACTTGAGGCTAATCCATCTTTTAACCACAGTAAATTTTCCCAGGTGTGTAAGCTGTGTAACAAGCATTTTCTGCAGGTCACAAATGGCTGATTGACAAACAGGTGAGTGGACAGGAACACTTGTGAGATGTCTGAAGGGCTCATAATTTGCATGGATCTTCGTAAGCCATTTCGGGCCTCCCTTTCTCAGTTCTGGTCGGGTATCCAGAACAGCTCCCCAGTAAACGGTATCCCTGCACTTACGGCGTTTCTCAGCATCTCTTGCTTTTGGAATTTTTTCCTTTTCCCCAGAAATGTATTGATGGATTACCAGGTGGTGCCATCAGACATCTTGGTCTCCTGGTGCAGTGCAGTAATTGTCTTTGGCTTTGCAAAAGTTAAACATACACATACCCTTTGTTTTGCTGGGTGCCGTGGACAAATGGTTGTTAGGCCATGATGTGTTCCCAAGGTCTACCTAAACAACAGGTTTACTGACTTCTGTGAAGCTGTGGTTTTCAAAAGAATTGTATTTTCTGGCAGACATAGGTGCCATTTCCTGTTGATAATTTTTTAGAAAAGAATCTTTTTCATAGATTTCTTATCTCTTCAGTTGAAGGTGACAGGATAGAAATTAGGCTAAACGGTTGCATTCTCAAAGTTCTGTTCTGCATCCAAATCGCTGGGAGTGCAGCTGGAGCTCTGGAACCTGCTCCTGAGTTCTGGTGCCAAGAGGGCGTTCTCACTTTTCCTTGCTTGCAGGGTTCCTCTCCCAGTTCTAGCCAGGCACCAGGATTTGGGGTACATTTAACATAGAATGAGCTCAGGGTATGTAAGGATTTCAAGGAGCCCAACCTAGTTCCACCCAGCATTTGGTTTCTACAACCACCAGCGGGGTGTCTAGTCCTGTGCACGGGATTGATTTAACTTATACTCTGCTTTTTAACCAATGAAGGGCACTTGGGGACATCGTGGCAATTACACTTACTCCTGTTCTCAGCTGGAGAGCCCCCTGCCTCTGGTTCTGGGTACATTTCCATCATGACCACTGTCTTCCGCTTGTGCAGGAGCAAGCCTGAGTGGCAGAGCAAACCCCGGGCTCTGTTTCTGGCACTTCTGCCAGCCTTTTAGAGCTGGGATGGAAGGAACTCCACTGCAGCCGCTCCTAGACACGCAATCCTGCCCCCTCCAAGCCGGGTCTGTCCAGTCTAAAAGCAGAATGGCTGCCCATATGGGAAGCAGTAGGCAGCTTTGCATGCCAGCGGTCCTTGCCAGCATCTCCTTTTCCCCAGATCCTGGGAATCTCTGCCCATCAGGATAACTCTCCCTGGCCTGACTTGGGGCAAGCCTTGAGGTCCTTCCTAGCTGAAGAACGACTTGGCAAGGCACCGTTCAGCTCTCCTGGCTTCCAACTGGAAGATCTGTGACGTGACCGCGGTCTTCCTAGCAGCTCCGGTTCAAGGCAGCCTCCTCAACCGGCTAGCCACAGGGCATCGGATGGCAGCTGCCATTGCCACCGTAGCCTGGCTGCCTGAGCGCATGGCTCGGATCCAGCTTGTGCAGGGGACGATGCCTACAGGCAGGAGGAGCAGCGGCTTCCTGTGCTAGTTCTTTCAAGGCGACAGACTTGGAGAAGATGGAAATCTCTGGTGTCCGTTTATTAACATTTAGCTAGGAGACTTGGAGGATAAACCAGGTGCTTCGGCACAGCATCTCTGTTTACACAGATTCTTCCTAACCCCATCCTACACAGAGGCTCTAGGTAGTAGGTAATGCAGATGGCAAGGTCTGTGTGGCATTTGTGTGGAGGTGCGGGGGGTCTTGGGGATTCAGCAAAGGTGTAGAATTTATTTATCAGGTGTGTGGGCTGCTCGAGTTCAGCATCCCCAGATGCCTGCCTTTCGGTTTTTGCAGAACAGAGCACCGTGGCACCAGGAATGCTGTTAGGATGCCAATCTTCTGCCTGTGCCCTCCCACCCTTGCCAGCAGGGCAGCCTCCAGCTTCAGTGGTCATCTCCCTGAGCTCAGTGCTCCCTGCCAGGCTCCCTGCTGCCTCTGAACCGGTTGTCTCGTTCTTGGGGGGACAACTGTGATGAGACACAACTTTTTTCATCCTGGCGCCAACTCACCTGTAACTGGCACGGTTGGAAAGCCCCTGCGGGCTCTTCTGTCATGTGCCTGATACAGTGAGGTGTCGCAAAATGGTCGTGAAGACCAAGTTAGTTTTCCATTCGGTCTGATGAAGACTGCACTGCAGCTCTGTGTTCCTTGGCAGAAGGAGACGATACCCCAGCAGCTTTCCTGAGATCTCTGGCTGGCTCTAGGGCGCGCTTTGGCCCCCATTTCCATTTTTTTCCTTACAAAGCAACTGGTAAAACCTTGTTTCTCTATAAAACAATAGGAGAAAATATGTTTTCCCCTTTCCCCACAATTCTGGGATCTCAGACACTGTCACATTTTTTTTTTTGTTTTATTGAACACTTTATAGAAAATATATAAATAAGTACAAGATAGAACATGAAAAAAGAAACAAATGTAACACAGATAAACCAGATAAAAGTCATAGAGGATGTGTAGGCATTTTTGCCTCCGAGTCAGTCTGGACGTGCCCTGCAGTTTTCTTGGCAAGGTTTTTTGGAAGGGGTTTGCCCTGGCCGCCTTCCCATGGCTGAGAGAGTGGGACTGGCCCAAGGTCACCCAGTTGGCTTTGCGCTCAAGGCAGGACTAGAACTCACGGCCTCCTGGTTTCTAGTTTGGTGCCTTAACCACTACACCGAACTGGCTCTCCATAGAGGATATAGGCTTCTAAAATATCATTAATTTTAGAATTGAATATAAAATTTAAAAATTTATAAAATTCTAAAGTGTTAATTTTTATACATCATGTTAAAAGACTAAGAATCGTTATCGAACTTAAGCTAAAAATGAGTATCAAAAATCATGGTCGACACAATATAAATCACCAAATGGAATGGTACCCTGTAGTAAGTTCAGTCCATATTACTAAAAATCTGTTCTGGTCTAGGTATCTCAAGAATTGAGTTGTAGATTCTGTGCATGGATAAACCCAAGTTCTGGATGCAGTACCCAAAAAGTCATCCTATCTTGATGCTTCGCCATAAGTTGCGTTGCTAGATTTGGGAAGCTGACACAGGACGGCTTTCCCCCTCCAACTCTGCCCTTCCTAAAGGGGCTCAGTTGCCTCCCCACTCCCCTTTGATTTTTCCAGGGGCTCTGGCAGCGGGGGACAGATTTTTCCTGTGCAGCAGCAAATCGCTGCCCCAGATTGCCTGTCTCCTGCTTCTGACGTAGCTTCTCCATGCCCTTGATGAGCCCCTGGTGCCTGGCCGTTCCTGACATGACACTGCCGGTTAATATTGGGGGGGTCCCCCCGAGCTGAAGGCTACCTTAGCGTAGCAGAACGTTCTGGCAAGGTGCTTCATTGGGCTTTGCGCATCAGACTCCCCCCCTCCATCTGTGTAGGCTGTGGCACAGTAGTTCAAGATTGCCCCATATGGATAGAGTCACTCTGGAGAGCAGTAAACAACGCGGGTTATGTTAATGAGTTTGAGTCCTTTCAGGGCATCCGTTCACGTTGTTGGCTGTGCTGTTGAAGGGCAGAATGCAGATGCATCTATGCTACTTTAAGATCCATGTCCTTTGAGAGCACGGTCCTGCCAAGCGGAGGCAAAGGGCAGAGGCTGCGGCGGCAGCTTTCCTCCTCTCCAGCGGCCTCGGAAGAACGGGCTCTCGGCAGTCCTGTTCCTTGGAAGTCCTTGAAAATGGGGGGTGTGAAGGTGGTTGGCACATCTTGCTGGGAAGGCATTGCCATCACCACTTCCAAAATAGCAGAGGGAAACACAGCTTCCCATGAAGCCGCTATAAACAGTGGGGGAGTGGAGGAAGTTGGACATGAGTCACGCATGTCGATGCAACACTGGGTTAGAGTGGAGCTCCCCACTGCGTCTCAGCCTTCCACCCAAGTTCTGGAAATTTTCATGTTATCAGAACAGGCCTTGGGCAATAAAGGAATATCATGATCTCTCTCCCCTCCCACCTTCCAGGAAAATTGGCCAATCAGTTTATGTGTCTCCAGTCTCTAGGGCTCTGGCCACCCCAATGAGCCGCAGTTCCTTTGGAGAAAAACCTTAAAGAGACCCTTTTGAAGTAAATAAATATGCTGCGTTGTTCGGAGGGGAATTGGGTGTGTGAAAATTATGCAGATTAATGGGAGGGGCAGGGGACCCAGCCAGAAACCCGGGGGAGCATTGGGAGTGCAGCGCAGGCGGTTTTTGAGTTTAGAGCAGAGGCCCTGCCCCTGGGGCTGGGGAGGAGGGTTGGGGGACAGGGTTGTCCCGGGTAGGGCTGAATGAATTGCAAGAAGCAGGCTTTGGAGGGGCCGTCCGACCAGGGAAGAGGGCAAGGAACCGGTCAGCTTCGCGGGGGGGGGGGGGGGGGGGGG